CACCTGTCTCGATGCTACAATTTGTGTTTTAACCATTACCCGAATATTCCAGTTTTAGTGTTATATTATCAGAATGGAGGTTAAGAATTATATTTGAATATGTGTCTATAGTTAAAAGTTCAAAATAAAACACATTATCACTCAAATTAGAGAGGGGAACTAAATTGGAGGTGGCAGCCTAGTAATTCAACAGGCTGAAATTACACGCCTCCTAATATAATACAAATATTTACTTTAGCATCAAGACCATAAGTTTGGTCAATTTAATCCTTTTTTAGGAAGACCTGATTACTAAAATACACCAACTGTAAGAAGGGGAGTGAAAAGGGAGGCGGGAAAAGTGCAGAAACCTAAGGAGGGATGATGCCTGACAATGAAAGTCATTTTCAAAGACCATTAACTATCAACTGCTTTACTCAGGGCTCTGATTAAATAAGAACATACATCCTATGTTAAAGGGATGTCTACATGAGTAGGATAGAATTTAGAATAAAAATGTATTGTATGAACTATAAAGAAGAATCAAACCACCATATACAATTAGGCACGTGAATCGTAAGAAAAACTGTATATGTGCCTTTTAACTGTTAGTGAATAAATATTCAAATTATTGAAGGGGACAGGTAGGAAGGCAGACAAAACCACCATTTCCACTTCAAAATACAGACTCAACAAACTGAAACTGTGTTTGCCTACGTGAATACAAAGAACTGAAATACTACTAGGAGAAAAATTCATATGGAACATGCTTTTAAATGGATTCTAGCAATGTTATTATATATTTCTTACAATATATTTTATTTATCATTTCTCTGAAATGTGCTAGATTTTATATTAGTAAGAAAGTTTGCTTTACTCTGTCATATCTCTGGTGAGCAGATGCTCTGGTATTAATGTAAATCGTTGATTTAATTTTTAGCTTTCTTGGTTTGCCCCTCACCTATCTAGGAAATGATTTCTCTGGTGATAACTAACACATCATGCTAATGAGAGAATCTAACGCACAATAGAAAAATGTCACTACTAATAATATTTGCATGAAGTTAAATAAAGCAACTGTAAGAGAATGTCAGACAGTTGTTCTTTAATAAGACACAGTTTCACAATGAAATTATGTTGTTAATTGTGTTACATCATTGGGTGAATCCTAAATTACTACATAACGATGCAGAGAGTCATTTATAATTCTAACTTAGTATTTCACTCCTGTCTGAAAAGAGACCTTATTAAGGGATCTACACTTTATTTGAAACAGGTTAAATATACCTCACCAATAATAAAAGGTAAATGCCTCTAGTAATGTGTAAAACGTGGGCTATAGCCATTTACCTGTTACGGTTTCATTTCTGAAAAGATTTCAAAATACATTAGACTACTGCATCCCTTCAGGTAACCACAAAGAATTTTATTTGCTACTTTCTCAAAAGAGCACAAAATATTTACAAAAATAGAAAAACCACCTTTTAAAACCCAATTTTAAAAAAATTCCAAAAGCAGGCCTGATTTTCTGCTTTTAACAATACGTCATGAGGTTAAAATGGGCAAATAACGTTCTGGAGTCTAGGAGATTAACAGAGAAGATGAGCAAAGGGTTTCTGGTCATTCTCGACTGTCACTGATCAAAGTGACCCAAAGAAGAGCTCCCTTCACAAAAGTCAAGAGTCATGCCCTTTAAGGTTATCAAATATTTGTCTGTATGGAAAAAAATGATCCCCTTTGGAAAAAATCATACTTGAATATGGGAGAAAAAAGGTATCGAGGCAGGAAAATGCAGTCAAACTGTCACACTCGAACTTTAGGGGCAACATACTTAATTTCACCAAGTTTAAATTGGCTTCAGATTGTGATGTCTTTTTGTTAGTATTAGACAGACTGAAAGATTTACATATAAGCGGATCTAACTTTGGCCACTGAAGACAAAGATTTTTATATCCCTACTTCCTAATTTATCTAGAGAAAACACAAACCTAGATTATTAAATTTCAGTATTCATGAGATATTTCCCACTACAAGTTTTGCTGCAGTTACATACTGGTGGTGAATTCTCTTTAATTCAGTTTCGAAACCTACTAGTCAGTCTTTCCTAATATCTAAAAAAATGATCAGGTAAATCTAATAGTTTTTATATTATTAGAGGAAACTTTGAAATAAAAAAATATACCCAATACGTTTTATTCATTTTATGAACCAAAACAATTTTTTCTTAGAAATTAAAATAATCATGATATAGAAAACCTCTTTATGTCCTAGCAAGGAGATATACAGAATTCTGTATACTTGATTAAACTGGACAAACTTTTTCTCTTTAGTAAGTAAGACAAAAGCTGGCTTAATGTGTATATTGAAACTAGTAATTCGTGAAACTGTTGGCTTCAAGAGAGATCATTTCAAGAAAAGTGTCTTTCTTGCGTGCTCTCACACACACACACACACACACACACACACACTGAATCAGCATTGCTGATGAACTATAGGTAAGGAAAATAAACATTAAACACGTACAGCACATATATTTTTACCTTTACACACACAGTTTAAATTTAAGTTTACACAATATTTATACAAACTAAAATGTCATCCTGAAGGAGGGAAAAAAAAGCATGTAAACTCATACCCTCTTTTACATGCTTTCCAAAAATGCACAGGAGGTAAACATTTAGTAACCATGACAGGAAAAAAAGAAGGGGAGGGGAGTCACTAACTGCATCTAAACCAAAAAATAAAGAAAACATATAAACGATAGTTAAATCACAACACTTTTTTAAATTGTGATTTTTTTCCTTTATCGTACTACTATGTTTAGTAAATAGCATAATATTATATAGTTTTATATAGCATCCATTATGCATAAATTACTACCCTATATTTCTACTCTCTTTATATAGTCACTGACACTATCACATGCATACAGGTACACACAAGACAGATCTTTATACACCCAGAGTCAAACAGCTGAATCAGACATCCTAATAGCTTCGTTGTACAAGTTTCTCTCTCTCAGTGATTTCAAATGATTTTCCTAATTCTGATCCATCATTTATATAATTTACTTGTATTTGTTTTTCAGCTAAAATGTTTTCCACAACTTAAAGTCTCCTTAGATTCAAATCTACTTGGAAATGGGCTAGTGCCAAAGAAGCAATCTAACACCATCTATGTGGTTCAATAGCCATTTATCAATTGATCATTATCTCTATCTGGTTTTATTAACTCTTTTCTAGCTAGAGGGAGACCTAAACCAATCTTCCCTTCCAACACACACACACACACACACACACACACACACACACACACACACACTTACTTGACCTCCACTAACTCAAAGAAAATCCTGAAGGTGACATTTAATTTTTAAAGTGAGGCACAAGTTATTTAGTCCTAAAGTCAGTGAAAATACACTCTGTGTTTCCAGCACGAAGAGAGCCACCAGGCAGGAATGTGCCCCAGAAACACACCTCTCAAAGCATTCTGCAATGACAAGGAGTATCTCTGGGAGGAAATGAACTTTTTAACTTGCAAGGATGGGAAATTGCACATAAAGAGTTGCTTATTGGGTTTATGTTGATTGCATTTAAATCCCAGCTTACTGTATCAGCAGTAATCAGGGTCCCTCTACAGGATATGTCAAAATACACCTTATTCAAATGCATTTATCCTATCTAGAACGGTGTGATAAAACTGTTCGCTAGCTAAATGCTACAAAACCCTGGCTCTGTGCACCATCTTCTACAGATGTATTTCTAAACTTGGAGTAGTTTATAGCTTGGCAAATTCTTTTCTTTCCTCCAGTATCAATACTTTCAAAACGCTAAATTAATGCAATGAAGTATTTAATTCTCACGAACTCTTCAAAGCAAAACAGGTTTTGTTTTTTTTTTAAGAAAGCAGTTGAAATATTTCTTTTAAATGAGTGGAACAATATCAATTTCTTAACGGCCATGCACTTAAAATTCAAGTCTATTTCTCAGCAACACTTTCACGCTGCGTGGCTGATAATATCATCCTAACTTGCTTTGTGTGCGTTTGGGGTAGGCTTTTAAAAAGCAAGACGCGTCTAGGAGGGAGGCACCAGGGAACTTCCCTCCCTCGCTTGAGCGCAGTCCAAGATGAAAGTTTCTGGGTTGTTTCCCTTCGCTTCCTCTCCCCCTCGCTCCCCCTCGGAGCCGCCGAGCAGCAATTGTGCAAGAGGAGCCGGACGCGCGGGGCGCGGCTCGCCACCGAGGAGCGCAGGGTCCGGCCGCCGGCTCGCTCGCCGGCCGGGTGATTAATGAGCGGTGGCCGCCCGCCTCGCACTCGCGCGCCGGCTCGCCCGGCGGAGCCCGCACAGCCCGCGGCCGCACGGAGGAGCGGCTCGGGGAGGACGCCGAGGCTGCGCCCGATGTGAGTGCGCCGGCGGGCGGGCGGGCGGGCGGGCGGGAGCCGGAGCGGCGCGGCGGGGAGCGCAGGGCGAGCGCGGCGGCGGCCGTGGCGGTGATGGTGGCGGCGCGGAGGAGCGGGGACCGCGGCCCTGCCCGGCCCGCCGCCGGCCCGGCCTCGGCGCGGCGCGCGGTCGGAGGAAGTCGCCGGGCGTGCGGAGGGGCCCCCGCCTTTCTGACTGTTTGGCAGCAGACACTTGAACGAAGTGATTCACGGAGAGCGAAAGCGACATTTGTGGGGGGGTAGGGGCTGGTGGCTTTTTTTGTTTTAATTTTTAACACAAAACAAAGAAATAAATTCAGTCTTCCCTGGACCCAGGCTGTCCTGTGAAACTTTGCACCCAATGCCTTGGCTTCCTTTCTCTTCAGGATCCTTTCCCCTTTTTTCCTGGAAGGAGCCCTCAGGGAGAGCGTGAAGTCGCCCTGCACATTCCAGTCACACAGTTATGACAAAAGAGAGCCCAACTACGAAGTCAGCATCGTAAAAATGTGGAGAAAGAAGAATCCCAGAAACAAAAGTGCACATAACAATTCAAGGTTTCTTTAAAAAAAAAAAAAAAAAAAGAAAGAAAGAAAGTAACTTACCTGTTGGGACATTCTGAATAAGAGGTTAGTATCAGCGTTTTGCCATGTCCCCATGAACCCTGGTTCAGCCGCAGTCGTTCTGGTTCCGAACTGCATGGAGTTGTCAGTACAGGAGTCTCTTAAAGTCAAGTCTCTTGCCCTCTTTGGCTCTCTGTCTCTCTGTGTCTCTCTTTCTCTCACATCCACTTCTGCCTCTTCTGACTGAAAAGTGAAGGTGGATTTTTTGAGCCTCTTGGCAGCCAGTAGCAGGAGTGTAGTGTAGTTAAGAAGCTGGCTGAACTGTGCATTTCATTTGGGAAGGGGGAGATTTGGGGGAGGGAGGGGGTCAGAGCTGCTTTCGCACCTTCTGCACAGATACCCCTATCATTTATGCATAGATTGTGACTCCCCGAGCTTGCCTTTGCTCGGTTTAACAGCTGCCTGTCAGGTGTGCAGACAGCACTGGAGACCCAACCATCAGCTTCAAACTCTCAGCCACTGCATGTCATTGGATAGCAGAGCTAAGAGTCAACTGCACTGTTCCACTGTCAGGCACCAAATGACACCCTGCACTAACCCCTCTCCAGACACACGGATAGATACACACTTATGCACACTTCAAGCAGCACCATGATTATGGACAGTCCACGGGGCCAGGAGAAGCTGGGGCCCTTCCTAGAGAATTTTTCCCAACAATGCTTTCGGGTATAACATGCAATATCTGACATCACTCTTTGCTTTAACATTTGTAAACTGCTATGCTTCAACATTTTTTTTCTAATTACACTGGAAGAAAGAAAAATACTCAGCTGTAAGAGAATGTAAAGTTGGCTCAGTTGTTGTCTAAATGTTAGCTCCTAAAAGTCATATAGTATGTGCTGGGCTATTTATAACCACATATAAACTCCTAGAGAAAATAATATACAGAGACATGACCTTACACTCTAAAAAGTAAATAAATAAACCTAGCAGTTTTTTGAACACAGAAGATGCACAATAAACATTTGCAAAATAAATACATATTATTTAATATCCAGTTCCTCAGGTCGTTAATTACTAAATTGGCTGTTAAGCAATAAGAAACTGAATGGCAAAGGAAAAAAGTATCTTTTCTTAAAGCTCAAAAGTAGAAGAAAATCCTTTGTTAAAGTTCCTGGATGAAGCATCTACAATAGCCTTTCAAATCATAAAAAAGAAAAAGATGAAGAAAAAAAGCCTGTCCTATTTCAGGCAAAAAGTAATGAATATAAAAAACTCCATTTTTCATTCAAGATCTCTATGGAAAATTCTGTAACGTTTTCCTGCCTGATGAAATACAACCTCAATAGCATGTCGTATTTTTAATTAAACCAGTTTTAAAACAAAACATCTATTTATTAGGTAGTATTTATCTACCTTATTTATGGAAAAGCAGAACTGAACAAAATGCACTGTACATAAACAGTAACTTCAAAATGGAAAGCTAAATTCATGTCATCTCATAAAAGTAGTCAGCAGGAAAAAGCCATCCTTCCCTAAACTTAAAATGTAAGGAACATTAATCTTCAACCACCTACAAATATCGAGGACAAATGTACCACTCTCCTTGCTCCTCCTTAACTCAAGAATAACAATAAACCTTACTCTCTGAAACAACAAAAGAAACAGAAAAGAGCTTCAATGGCAGCTCTGTGTCATTAGTGGACAATGAGAAAAGATGAGAAAACGTACACTATGTTGACACAAATGTGCCTTCCCCTCTAGAACCGACATCTCCTGAAAGCTTTTCTGTTAAACTTCCCTCCGGTTCACCACCATTAAGCACAAAAAAGTCTCGAAAGCAGCAAATTCAATATCTGAGAAGAAACAAACAAGAACCCAAAGAATTGTTGCCTTAAAATATATTAAGTCCACCTGTGGTCCATAAAAATATTCTTGAGGGGGGAAGACAGGAAAAGCCCCAATGAGTCAATTGTCAACAGTGACTGTACCTTTACGGCTAGCTATTACCCACTTAAACGCCCTCTAAAATTTGCTAGCCTCTTGATTTCTGAAGTGGCACTCAGTGCCTCAGTCAAGCTGCCTGCTCAGCTCCTGACCTTCCCACTAATGGCTGTTATTTGTGGGAGGCTTAAGGACACTGTCAATAGCAAGCTTCCTCCTCGCTCCTCTCAGGCTCTGTGTATCGCTTTGCCTGCGTGTTCTCTCTCGCCTGCCTCTTGCTCTCCCTCCCGACTCGTTCCCCCTCCTTCCTTCCTCTCTCCTTCACTCCCTCTTCCTCTTCTTCCAGCCACCCCCCACCCCTTCTTTCTTTCAGTCATGCAGTCCTCTTCTTTCCCAGGTACCCTCCCTCCCCGCCACCACACACACACACACACACACACACACACAACACAAAAATCAACTGGCATGCAGCAGCAAGCACCTGCAGTAATAGACTCTTTTATTAAAACTGTTATTCTGCAAGACTTGAAATTCCCCGTGGACCGGGCCATGTCAAAGCCGATATAATTAACTAGAGGCTCAGCAACGGATCAATTACCAGACAAGCAAGTGATAGTGAAATCAATGAAAGATCATCAGCCACATTATCAGTGTTGCAACTCATTAGGGCAAAACTGAGAAATGTGCTCAAAGCGGGCCCAAGCAAGGTGGCATTACAAAACAAAGGGCTAATTTGGAGACCCTGCTGTGAACAATCTGTAACAGAATTAGCCTTTTTTCCCCCTAAACTGCACAGCTCCATAACTAAATGTGACAGACTGAGAGAAGCAGTTTATTAAGACACCAACCCCAAGTTTATTTAGTTCATAAACTCTTTCCTAGAAAATCAATACAGTCTGTACAGGGTTATTAGGCTGACTCGCTAATACATCCAAATGTGGTCTGCCGGGCCAGCACTCCTCTGACAAAATGCTACCCAGCATGGGCAAACTGAGCTCTCTCAGCTATCAAGGTTTGAGGTTGCTCTAGATGGAACAGGTCTGCAGTGTAACTAGTACCTGCATATTACTGCCAGGGAACAAGCGTCAAAAGGACCAGGATAGCTTTCTAAGGTTTAAAATATTTTTTCCCAACAAATCTATCACACGATGCTGCACGTGCTAAATGGAGTTGATCAAACAAAATTTCAGCGAGTCTGTGAGACTAGTTTACAAAGAGGACAAGCTTTATTATGATAAGAGGGCAATTAACCCAAAGACTTAATAAATAAATGAGTAAACTAAAACAAAAACCTCAAGCATATACGCATGCTATGCTTTGCAGATTTGAAGTTTCGAATATTTTTAAATCAAGTTTTGGAAATACAAATCTGACTCCTCTAGAAATCCCCAAAATGCATGATTTGAACTTGCCACTCACTTGCATATATAAACACAGCATGTAGAGTCCTTGATCTTAGAATCATCTTCTAGCTAGCAAGCAGGACACCTACATCGGTTTAAGCACAGATACAAAAAGTATACCCAACAAGGCACAAAGATGACTTTTGAGTGTGTCCATTTGCTATGTAGTCTGCGGATTATGGAATAACTGTCTGGAATCGTTTGTGTTCAAGTTTTTTTAAAACTAGCGGGGTGAAAGCAGGCATCACTTCCACAGTATTGCTTTTTTGTTTCCCTGATTCCATGTATTTCAGGTTAAAGAATCATAAATAGGAAAGGCTATGTGTTGGCTTTCCCACATTGACTGACAGTGAGAGATGGACCATGGAAATTAAGAAGCACACCAACTAGGTCTAAATGGCAGCCAAGTTATTAAGCACATTATGGGAGTGTGAATACCTCCACCTCACCACAACACGTAGCAGAAATAGCCTTACACAACGTAGGAAACTCAAATGCAGCTTACAGTGTTAAAGTAGATTGGAGAACCGAAGGGAAAAACAAAAAGACAACAGCTTTTGCAAGTGATTTCAGATGTTTTAACATTTAAAATGTCCCGAGAAAAGGAATACATTATTAATATGACTTCAGTATACTGGCTCAAAGATACTAAATCCTAAACTTCAAAAAAAACTTCATTTTCACAGGACTTTCATAAAATCCAACTTATAGATTGCAGTAAATAAACGTTTTCCCCCTAACTTTTGAGCTGGTACCTTACTAAGCATTTCATAGCTCATATTTTTGAGTAATCTGTAAAAAAGTTAGACATATATATATTCTGAACCTGTACTATAGATGCCAATGTTTTTGATAGTAATTAAAAGTTATAATTACAGAAAAATTTTATTTTTTTAAACCTTTTTGCATATAACTACATACTGTGCATGTACCCTCAACGAGATCCAATTAGTTGCAAAGAATTTGCATTTCAGTTAGTGTGGGATAACAAGACTACAGGGAGGTACAATGCAATTCCACCAGCAGAGTAAGAAAGTGTTCGTTCTTGTTAGCTCTGTAAGCACTAATTCCCACCACTGACTGTTGAAAATGTTACTGATCTTTTCAATATTTGGGTATTGAGGTGGATTTAGGTTTTTCCCTCCATTGAAAAAGAAAAATCACATGTTGGTACCAATATCAGCCACAATAAATGCCTGAAGAAACAAATGACCAACAGATTTTGTTTTGTATGTATGTTTGCGGGTGGGGTTTTTTTGGGGGGGGGGGGTGTAGGGGGAGTGATATTGCGTGCTTTTTCTTTTCTTCCTAATACTTATTCATCATTTCTTTAAAAGCACATTGCTTTCTTAAAACAAGTTCCGAAACTGGGGGTAGGGAAACCTCACTGAGACAGGTCTATGTAAATATATATGCTTTTGTGATAAAGGCATGAATTTAGTACACTGCAAAAGCACGCAAGGATTTTCATTTTTTCTAGCTATGTTTCCAACAATGTAAATCCTAAGCAAATATCAAATAAATGTATAATTTATATACCCAGTTTAACAAGCATCTCCAGGACTTCTGGTTCACAGAACAATACCTGGAATTCCCTGGGTTCAGCTCAGCAGCTGTTAACAGACTCTGTAATCTGTAATGACAGTAAACTGGCCTTTGCTCTTCTTTTATTCACTGTTCATTTTCAAGGCTTGGTTAAGTACAGAGCTAGGTTAAAGATCAGTGGTTTTTCATGTGACACATGCTGGTATTCATCTAATGGCTTGTCAAGACAAAACTGTCCCTGTTCTTGCCAAAATAATAAAAATGACGCTCCACATCACATGACAATCAGGACTTCCTTATGGCAAAACAACCCGAGCTTTTGTAATTCACTTATTCTATAGGAAAAAAAAA